CATTGTCTCATAAAGTATGTTAAGCAACCAGGAGCAACGCTTTAACAGAAATCTTCTTTTAGGGGTAGAAAGAACAAAACATTAACAAATAACTCTGATTGGCTCTTTACATTTAACGAGTTATCTCTTTTTACTTGTAAACAATCTCACAACTTATGCATAAGTAACTTGGGGAATGATAAACATACTGTTTTTAACTTTTCATACACTTTTGTTTAATCATGTATATTGTTTCTGTTTGATTTATTCAATTTGATGACTAAAAACAAAAAGAGATGTGTGAGAAGCTAAAAATAATGTGTGAAAATTACCTCTCAAGTAGAATAATTTATGCACACGTGAAACTGCCTATAACGACGAATGAGTCCTTTGCGTATACCGAGCCACGTATCTACCTCTTCAAAGTAGCTTCTACTCTAGCTTCTCAAAATCACAATGTACTCACACACACAAGAATGGTCCAAAGAAATCAACAAGGTGGTCCAACCCAAGTTACTTGCATTACACAACTCTTTCTCAACCAGAAAGTTTAGTTCAAATGTAGCGGCTAATAAGAAGGAACACAAGGAAGATGCATTGATTTTTCAATGTTTTTTTCTTTTTTGGAAACTTGATAATGTTTTTCTTTTTTTTTTTTGGAAACTTGATTTTTCAATGTTTGGGTTGGCAGTTTGGTCAAATGAGCCATCAATACATTGAAGGGTGGAATGCAAAATGCAGTGCATTAATCGGTCAGCTTCTGCAGCCTGACAAACAAGCACTTCTGCTGTGGGCCTGTAAATTTAGTCAGTGTTTTCTATGTTTCCACACCAGGAGGATGCTTGTTGGATTTTCTTTATGAGGATTTCGAATATTTTTTAATTATATTTATTCATCGTACATTATGTGATTATAAATTATTATAAATTTTTTTATTTAAAATTGAATGTAAATAATAGCTGATAAAAATTAACAATACGATATATGATGATCAGATGTGATTAAAGGATCCCGGAATTCTCACAAATAGGATCCAGCGAGGATCCTCATTCATTTCCAAAGAACTCTGAAACAAAGAGAGACTTATGAATCATGGTCATAGATCATCGAATGGGTAAACCTGATCAAAAATTCTTTGGTGTTTATGAAAATTTGATGCTCCAAGTATTTTAACTGTTAAATCTTAAATTTTGTATATTTAAATAGATATCTAACAATTAAAATTAGAAAAACGATTTAAAAACTTTGAGTTTTAACGATAAAGACAAAATAAAATATAAAATAAATAAATAGTACCATGTTTGATTTTTTAATATAAAAATAAAAATTTTCATTAAACTGAATAATACTGAAATTTTTTCGTTACTAAATATTTGGAATACATTGATACAGCAACAAAGTCCCCTTAAAGCCTGCTACATTTGAATTCTGAGGGTGCTGTCTAGCTTTTGACTTTTTCGTCCAACGGTCATCATTTGGATATTTTTTCCAGTATGTGGTTGGATAAACGTGGACGGCAGCAAATCATTTTTTGTTTTGGTCGGGTATTGCACATCATTCCAAGTCTAAGCGAATTGAGCTCATAAAAATAATGTGGGTGAACAAAGATATGAGGAAAAGAACAACGAAGAAGAGTGGTGAAAGAAAGACGGTATGATAGATGTAGAAAAAATATGTAACCATATGTAGTTTTTACACTAAGGTCATTTTCAATAGAGATGATTAAAGGTCCAAAAGCTGAAAAATGACTTGATTTGTCTAAAAACTTATCTCCAACCGATGGTGATGCTATAATTCTATAGAGCTCACCAGAGTCCAGACAATTATTTAGCCAAAGGGGTATCAAGCTGGTCAAATGTAGCTCCACTCTTAGCCATTTTTTGGAACCCAGTTTCTCAGTTGGAATAATTAATTCAAATTCAAATTCAACAACTAGATTTGAAAATATTCAACGTTAGGTTAACTAAATTAACCAATAAATTTAAAATATCAACTTAAACCTAATAAATTATTGTGGGGGCTATGTTTAGCCATTTCGGTTGTAGATTGTATATAAGTATGGCCTAACATTGTTCATTTAAAAATAAATTTTTTGGGGGCCTATAATTCTGGATGGGGTTGTGTTTAACTCTTATGGTTGGAGATGACCTAAGGGGGTGGGGGAATGGGCTAAGCCTTACAATAGGCTTACCATAATAATGTGGTTCAATTTCATATTAGTTGAGAATCGAACTTAAAATCTCTCATTTACAAATGAAAATTAATACCATTACCGTAATATTAAGTGATAATCCATTTACTATCTTAAGCCTACATGATGTAACTTTTAAAAGCATCTCCAAATGAGAAGTCAAAATGTCCACACAAACTATAACAATGTCAATAATAAAAGACTACACTAATATTCTCCAACCGAAATGCCAATTCCTATGTGGCGCTAACATGGATTGGCAGCAAAGAGGTTGCTGTCAAATTTGACAGCAGTTTCAAATATTTTTTTATTAATTTTTTTTTTATGGGAAACGTTGAAACTAAAATCAAACGAAGAAGCCAGAAAGACCGAAGCTTGAATTTTGGAAAACCGGAGAGAGAACAGAGATTAGAAAAGTAGAAAGCCAAACGCAGAAGCCAGATGTAAGAAAGACTCCTTCTTCTTCAGCTCCTCTCCGCCGTACACCGCACTGCTCTCAGAGGTTGCGTTTGATTGTATCAGTGTCGGGTTCGAATTGGGTGTGAGGGACTTGTGGGAGGGAAGCCTTTCTTGGTGAGGTTGCATTTGATTTTATTAGCGTCGGGTTCTAATTGGGTGTGAGGGACTTGCGGGAGGGAAGCTTGCAGAGCTTCCATGGCTGAAGGTGTGAGGCGAAGAAATCCGGGGGTTTTGAAAGATGTCAAAATGGGTAAGAAAATAATTGTTTAATAAAATAAAAGAAAAAAAATAGTGTAATAAAATAATATTTAATTTGACATACCGGATGGAGAACAAAATTTTAAAAGATGTCAAAATATCACATACGCTGTCAAATTCAATTTTATGTTTAAAATTTGACATTTCATTTGGAGATGCTCAAAGACAATCAACGAGCCAACAAAATTGGGTTGGATTTATATCCAGTGCGCTATCCATTCTAATACATGGGCTACATTGGTTCGGGCCGCCATCCAATTACATCATTTAATTTTCTCTCAGATTCAACCAGTCACACCAATATATAAATCAAAGGCCGAATACCACAAACAACATGGATTCTTCTACCTTTGTGCATTTATCATTCAAATTACAAAATTTTACACATCAATCCAAACTTACTGCATTGTGATAATTTTTAAAGGAAAACTAATGAAAAAGGTTTGAAAACTTTGAGATTTAACGATATGGACAAAATAAAGGGTAAAGTGAATAGTACTAGAGTAATATTATTCATACCATGTTTTTGTACCACATTTTCATATCACCTTAGGTGACATTTGATGTAGACAACCATATCATTTGAATTAATCAGATTTTTAAATTTAGTTCATTATTTAATAAACTAATAATTATTAATTAAGAAAAACTAGTTAATTAAATGATAATTGTGGTATACGAGGAGTCTTTCTCCTTCATTTCTTTGGCTTTTGCAAACTTTTAAAATGATGTGGCTGTCCACATCAGATACCAGTGGTATAGAAATGTGGTACAAAAACATGGTATGAATAGCATTACTCATAGTACCATGATTAACATTTCAGTGTAAAAATATAGATTTTCATTAAAGTAAACAATATCGAAAACTTTTCGTTAAAGTTCTCTAATTAATTTTCAATTCACATAACAAGCCCCTCATAGAATATCATGCATGCACCTTCTTCACCCAACATTCCACCCATTTCTTGCCAATTGTAGGTGTTAGAGGTCTCAACAATTGGCCACGAAATTCATGTTTTTGTTTTATTACTTTTATTCTGCTTGTAAATTAACCTTTGAAAGTCTTTGGGCGTTATATATTATTTGATCACTCCACGACGACAAGGGAAGTTTGTGTGTTGGTATCTGGTAATATTAAGTGGTATGGTAGTTTCGTGTTACGCATATACTATACGGATTATAAGTTTAGTAAATTTCCAATACCGCATCGATCCATTTGTCACGTAATTTGTCTCCGCACATACACTTAAAATTATTAAATACATCCGCTATCTACTGATTTGTAGTTGCTTTAAAACGAATTTTATTATTTATACAGTAAATTGTCTCCACTAGTAAGAAGACAATGCAACTACATTTTTTATACAACAATATATTTACATTAAGGGATAAGAGAATAAGATAGTATCAAACTCGTCATTCACGAGATTTGAACATAGAGAAATACTACTAGAAAATGCAACTACACTTAACTTGTCTATTTATTCAAGGATGTTCTCAATTTAGAAGAACCTAAACAGGCATAAATTCTAAAAAGAAAACAAAGGAAAAGGTTTAGTTCTCCTGCAACTTAGTATGGTCTAGTGGTATTCCTCCTCACTTGTAAGTAGAAAATCTTAAGTTGCCACTTAGTACTACGGTCTACTGATATTTTTTTTTTTCATAGAAGTTTTAGGTTCAAACCACATAAATGGCGAGTTTAATACCAATTTATTTTCCTATCTCTTAGTGTAATTATATCGTTGTATAAAAAATAAAAAAAGTTTGACTCCTAGGCGAGTTCAATACCAATTATTATGGTTTGCTCTAATTCACATATATTTAGAAGCCTTTTCTTAATCAAATTAAAATATGCATATATATATGTAAGCTATTTGAACGCTAACACGCACAGAAAACCTTAATCCTCCAATAAATGTAGGTCTAACCATAGCTCTCCAATCAAGTTAATCAACCCCATTTCTTACAGTTAAGCCCTCGTTTTCCAATGGCAGCTATATATACATATTTGCATACATGCATATATGCACTGCAGTTAAGCCCATCTCCTCACGTACAGTTAGCCCTCTAGAGTAGCTAGACAGGTTGCCATTCCTTCAAAAAAGCACCTTCATTCACTAACAATTTGAGAAGCTTTATAGTAGATTAACTTTAAGACAACAGGAACAATACATATGCACTGCAGTACTCAGAATTATATATACTAGTACTCACTGAATGCAATTCCTTGAAAGCCATACTGTTTCTCAGCCCATCTAAGAAATCTACGTACAAAAGTTTATGAGAAAAAGAGACAGATCAGGGCCACAGAAAGCGTGCATACAAGAAAGTATTGCAATAAGGAGATAGCTAGACCAAAAGATAAAATGTCGTACTACTTGCAGTGATATATTTACGTACAGTACTGGAAATATCCTAGTTTTGGTGCATATAGTTGCCCGCCAATCGACTCGAAAAGTACTCACAAATATTCATGGCTCTTGCTTGTGACTAAATGAGGGAACTAAATCTTGCAACAAACCATGGTCAGGAGCAGGTAGCTGTTGCTGCTGCTGATTATGATGATGATGATGAGGACTCATGAGGGTTGAGTATAACGTTGAACTTGGTGGATGATCATGTTGACGACTTTGCAATTGCAACTGGTTGTCCATTGGGAGAAATTGAGCTAAGAATTCATGTGAAAATTTTGCTGATCCGCTCAAAGATGCCGATGCCAAAAGTGAATTAGGTGACAGCATTCCGACAGCGTTGAGATTGAGATTTCCACGGAGTGTTGCTGGACACTGGTGGTTGTGCTGACCTTCATATGTTGTGATCACGATTGATGAATCTTGAAATGATCTCTCAACACGCTTCTTTACGATGCACTTCTGTGTGGTGCATCTGTAATAACTTCTGAAAATTTAAGCAAATAATAATTAGGACTTGTGCTAGATTTCACTATATGTATCAATTATATACACTTCTCATGTTATATAATATGATTTTGTAAGAAAGAAATGAAAAAGGAAATATGTATGCAAAGAACATATGCAAGTGGAGCGAAAATTAACCGCTAGATCAATAGCTAGCTATTAAAACAGATATTTACATGATTATTAGGGTTTAATTTGAAGGCTAACATAATAAGCATATAGCGTAAGATATACTAAATCAATTATAAAGAGTTCGAACTTCATAATTAGATGCACCCACTAATACTTCAGTTTAGTAATATTTCTCTCTACTAAATCAGAGGTCTCAAATTTTGACTACTATGAGTGACGAATTTGATACTTAATTATAGCTCAACCCAAATCCCTATCTCAGAGTCGTTATACAATAAAAACTTCATAATCTAAGTGCAAATTATTTAACCATATACTAATGGCCAGTAACAGATACGAATTGCATATAACAAACATTTCATCATCAAATAACGGCTATTGACTGGCCAAAAAGAAAATAATTAACGGCTGTTGAAAAATTGGAGATTAGTTTACTAAATAATTATAAGTTGGAATTTTTATTTCCTGCAGGAATGTACGTTCAGGTACTGGAATTAAATTAAGAAATCGGTATATATTAACCTAGGATAAGGGCTGTTCTTGACTGCCTTCTGTCCGTACTTCCTCCATCTGTATCCATCTTCAAGGTGATCCACTTCACTCTTAGTCAGAAACGCAAACCGTGGTTCCCTCTTCCGTTTCTCTTTCTTTTTTGCTTTGTTCCTGAATCATACAGTTTCAGAAACTTCAGTCAACATTTAGCACTACCTAATAAAAGAAATAAAAGAACAAATAAACCAAACCCTGCCAGTTTCCAACAATGATCTGAGAAAATTAGATATATAGATTTTCTTGAAACTTGTTTGTACCCAAAAGTGACATATATTGTATACATGTATATATGTGTGTGTGATTAGGGTTCTAGATACAGATCCCATTTTTGCTTTTAGGGCTTAGGGTTAATCAGGAAAGTAATGAAAGCGAATAATTAAATAAATATCTCTTCAATTAAAGACACAAGGGAGAAAAATGCACTAAAAAGTTTTGGCTTTGAAAGTCTACCTTCAGACAAAATACAGTCAAGCTAGGGAACCTTATTTATCCATATCTACCTTAAAGCTTCTAATTAACCTTTACCATGAATCTTGCAACAAGGGACCAAACAAAACCTACCCTTTCTTTGACTTGTCTTCATCATCTCCATCAGACCCTAATTTCGGCTGTTTATCTTTCTTGCTCTTATGATCTGAATCTTCATCTAAAACTTGATGATCAACAGCAACAGCAACAGCACCAGCAGCTTCATTAGGGGAAGAAGATATTGAGGAATAATTTGGTGTGGAAGGGTTTTCAGTGGTACTATTAGTCCCCACTGAGTGATCTCCTACACCTGCTGCCGCAGCCTGCTGCTTGTTTGAGTTGCTGTCATGATCTAACGGCGGAGAAATGACTTCCGATGAGGAACACGACATGTCGAAGGCTTTCGAGAGGGTGTTGTAGTCCAATGATCCGTGTAGGCAGTCGGTAAAGCTCATGAACGAATTAGGATGATCAGATCCAAACCCATTTAGGGTTTGTGGGTCATGCGAGGGATTTTGGTATAAGGAGGAAGTACCATAGTTGAAGAATGGACAGCTTGATTTCTTGATCTCATGGTGGTTGTAGTCGAAAGGGTCATACTGGTAAGGGTTTTTCTTCTCATTTGACATGATAGAAGAAGATGAAGGAGATGAAGAAGAAGAAACTTTCAGAGATGTAAGAGAGATGGGGATGAGATTCTTGCTTTGTTCTTTTTACAGGAAATGAACCTTAGGTTTGATTTTTATCTTTGCCTTCTTATTAATAGGAGGGAGAGAGGGAGAGGGAGAGAGAGTGAGAGAGAGAAGAGTTGATCTGATGGGATGCTAGCTAGCTAGCTACTTTTGGCTACTTGCACACTTGGCAGTTTCAATTGCTAATAAGCTTTGATAAAAAAAAAAAAAAATATTGCTAATAAGCAATAGGTTTTTTTCTTCATTTTCTTATATATTTCCTTCCAATTAAATATTATCAAAATATCATTTTTTGTGTGTGAAATATGAAAAAAGTATATCAGATGAAAGAGGTATGAAGAAGAGTAGTGGAAGAGTGAAAAAAAAAAATTAAAATGAAAACTACTTTAAATAATTTTTTTTCGTTTTTTGTTTTTAGCTTCATTCTATGTTTGTGTGTTTTTCTACACTATTCTACGTCTCTCGTCATCCTCCATCTACTCTTCTTCATCCCTATTTTTGTATTTATATTTTCCTTCCATCAATAATCCAAAAGGTAAAAAATAAAAAAACTGAAAAGACAAATGTTTATAACATAAACCCAAAGCACTCCAAAACACTCACTATCCATTAACGTGAGTATTCGCCCCAAGTCTTAGGAATGTGAACATGTCGCGCGATGCTCGGTCATAAATTAGAATGCAACAGCCTTTACTACGTGACATTTTTATGACCTTCTGATTTGAATGATAACTTTCATTGTATGTGTATTATCTGGAGTTAGGTCTGGGACCACATAGGGGGGTGGGGTGTGGTGTGGTGGTCAAGATGTCCAAGCTTACACGTGTTAGGGATTGGGCACCGTCATTTGACCTTATGTGGCACGTGGGAGCGACATTCTGTTCCTTTCCCACGCCTATGTCTTGCTGATTGGCCCCTCACGTCATCTCGGTTGCGGAAACCCCCGAATTTTGTGGTTGCCCTTTTTCCTGTTTCCTGAAAATCGGTCAAACCCATCCCCATCAAGATTAAAAGGTTGGTCAAATACCAACTTCATATGATAATTATATATATTGACAAACAAATTGGTTTGTTTTTATCTCAAAATTATTAATCTATATATGCAATAGTGATTGTATGAATCTCGCATTGTGTTTCTAAAGGGTTTAGGCCTTGTTTAGAAATACTTTAAAATGATTAAATGTTTTTGGATTTTTTTGAAAAAAGTAAATGAATCATGAAAAAATACTTGAAATACTTTTTGAAAGAAACATACAACTAGTACTTCTTCCGAAAAGCATATCAAGTGCTTTTGAAACCCAAAAATATTTTTTCTGAAAATGCTTCTAGTCATTTAAAAGTATTTCCAAATGACTCCAGAAGTAAAAAAGTACTTATCTCAATTTCAGGCCTTAAACTCATTTGTATGAATAAGCAAAGATGGATTATTTACTTAGTATTATAATTAAGTGATATTTATCTTCACTTATAAGAAGTGTTATATTAAAATTTTAAAGAACGATTTCGATATCAATGTTCAAAATATCGTTGTATACAAAATATACTTGTTCAATAGCATATATGAGGACATATTAAGTACTAGGTTTTTTTTAAAGAAAATAAAACGGACCTCACACACACACACACACACATATTGAAAGGATATTCCCGAGATTTTGCATTCAGTAAAATAATGAACATGGGGTAAAGTGATGTGTAAGAGTCTCGGTTCAAAATTCGTAACTCTTCAATGTAACAAAAACAAATAATGAAGACAATAATTGGAGGCAATCGTCCAATTGAACCCAGCTACTACCTGCTACATAGATTGAAACATCACGCATATTAGGAGTATTGAAGCATAATTGATTGTGCAATATGCTGCATGCAACTCTTATTATCCATGAAGTTGTATATGATTTCATATATTAATTAGTCCAATGATTTTAAATTGGAAAAAGTTGTTAGTTCTTCAATATTGACAGAAGTTTCCCGCTTGTGTCGGATTTGATTGGTTTAGGTGGGTGCATTATTTTGTAGGCATGCATGTCATGCACGAACATACATTATAAACTAATGAGATGCGAGCAATTATCACTTATTAATTTAGTATGACACGATTTACATGGTCAACGATCCTATTTACAATAAATAATAATATAACATTTTTTTTTTAGACGGCAGATTTATTAGATTAGGGAGCCGATGGAGTTTAAACCAACGTCGTGATGTAAAGACAACACTCATATCCATTATTGTGGTAGAGATCCAATTGCAATAATATAACATTTTAGAATGACTAATATACAGTAAAACCTATTTAAAGTAATACTCTGTAATGGAATAACCTCTTTGAAGTCATATAAATTTTGGTTTCAACTTGGGACTAGTAGTGTATTTTTAGAATAAATTCTATATTGTAATAAGTTATAATTTTTCCAGTCTCATTTTAAGGAAACACGTATCCACATAGTTATAACTTATAATTTTCAATGAGTACAAAAATATGCAAGAAATAAAATACTTGGTGAAGGGCACCAGCAGCAAACGGATACAAGAAGACACAAAAGCAGAAGGCCCAAAAATAAAAACAACGGATAAAAGTTAAAACGTTAATCCCTATCAAATAGAAACAGCCTAACGCCATATGTCTCTGACCAACAACCATCAGAATAGCCGCCGTGAAGGAACCAAATTCAAAATGGATCCGCAAATGCCAAGGCACAGCCAAATCAACCCATAAATGGCAAGAATACCCAAAGAAAAGCAAATCTTAAAAATAATAGTTTGGTGCATAGTGTTTTGTGTGTATATAACAAACTAATAAATATTTGTAAGTCCCATATATGTTTCCAAAACGACCTTCCACTAATCAAAATGGCTATATTGACCAAAAACATGGCTACAACTATTTGTATAACGAGATGCTATTAGTTAAACAGTGTAAAACCACAATGACCCATCAATAATGAAATCAAATAATATATTCCTAAGACCAACAATCGTTTGGTACATAGTGTTTTGCTCCGAATCTGTACAACAAAATGTCATGACCAATTGATATGACTGATGTAGAAATTAATCTTTGGCATCAAAGAAATCATGATTAGATGGATCCATCAGTTTTGTGTGCAACCGGAAATCATATGTGTCACTCTATTGAATTTACAGTTGACTTGAAGAATTGGAATAAGCTATCATTCTGTAATTGATCATGGTTAAGGCTGACTAATTTGAGTTTAGCTAGAAGAAGAGCAGCACCTTAAAATGCATAGATATTTGCTCGAATCGATTTCCAATAGGAAAAAGTGGAGTAATAATTAAGCAGGGATATATATCATATGAAATGTATCATCATATGCTTTGACATGGTTGGAATATTTTTTGTGGTGCGGCTTTTGATAGGGGAAGGCATCACTCGAAAGAGAAATAATTATTAGGCCCAACCATATTGAAGAAGTAGCTTGAGTTTGTTGACAATTTAGTGTTCTTTTGCAAATGGTAAAAGGAGCACGCAATCTGTATCTGACAAGTGACATTGCCATTGGCATGGAGTTTTGGTCAATGAAGAGCAGGTTATTTGTTAGGTCTTGGCAGTAATCCTACACAAAATAGACATAAAGTATATATAGGATGTTGACATGTATTTTCTTTAGAATAAAAAGAGCTCAGATTTGGCTGATCTGGGGGTAAAGTATTCAGCACCGGATCTTGCATTAATCTGATTAGTGTTATATAATCAAAGAATTTTAGTATTGGAGTCAAGAAACAAGTAATCATGCATGCATGACATATAGGTTTAAAGAATATGAGCAATTAAATGCTACAAATTAGTATGGGAGGTCTTTTGCCCCAAATTTCTTCTGGGATTATTCAACACTTTGAACATGCCAAACAAATTAGCTGCGCATGTGTTCAGACCCTTGTACTCTTGGTTTAAACTATAGAAATAGCTAATCTAGACTTGGGAAGGATCTCCCCTGCAAATTGAAACTTGATCACATGATAGAGCGTTGCAAGCAAATATTTTCAGTGACACAAAAGAATTTTTTTTTCCCCCTCGATAGACTTGTTCATGGCACATTAAAAATTAGATAGAATTTATCGTGTTTTATTTTCTTAATGTGAATAGCTTCACAATATTGTAATCAAATATATGGAAGATACGAAGAACATATATGATATGCTGTAAATTAGCTAGTGTGTTTGACTGTGGATCATATAAGTGGTAAGCTCACCGTTTTTAAGTTCAAGTTCCGCAAATGAATTTGTCTAGTACATATCCTTTTTTTATCAAACTAAATACAAGATCACTAATCCTAGCTAGGAAAACAAATTCATCCAATGTACTATTAATGTTCAAAACGAAAACAATTTTATTAAATCACTTTTAGTTTCTAAGGTTTTCAGTTAATTTCTGCGTGCGTGTGTGTAACCCTTCAAATTCATGCGGTATGCAAAAACTAGGGTTTTGCAAACTTTATAAGTGAAAGAAGGGTTCTTCCTATAAATTAAGTCAGAAGCATTCTTGACTGCATCCAACCACTAAAGGCGTTTAGATTGTAAGGGAATCTATTCAACCTTAAGCTTTTTCACTAAATAATTTCATTAAAAAAACTCATTTCCCTGTATTGTTCAAGCTAACAGCTGCTCCACCAATGGATTATATATTATTTTGAACAGAGGAAATGAAAAGGGAAAGACGTGGACATTTTCATGTTAACAAGTATTGACCTATGAAATTGGCACTAGTCGAAATCGCCTGTAATAATGTATAGTAATAGACACTATAGTACCTAGTGGCGAAGCTATATGGGAGCAAGAAGGTGCAGTTGCATCTTCGGTCATTGGAAATCGACCCTAACAGCGAGAATCTGTCCCTCTGATTCCTCTGGACTTGCACAGAACTGTTCCATTTTCTACTTTTTCTACCCCCACGACACCATGGTCTTCTTTTCTCCCTTCTCATAGATTCTTGTGACTTAGGGTTTATAGTTTAGGATTTAGGGTTTTTAGGGTTTAGGTGACTGTGACCCCCATTTGCCGAGATCTCTCCTAGTCTTCAAAAACACCATCAACCACGGTGAGCTTATCAAAACCTACCATCTCCAATTTCCAAT